ATATATATATATCCTTTCTTTTTGTATTATGACTTCAGTAGTGCTGTAATGAGTTATTTTATTTGTTATTGTTTTGCTGTTGTATTTGAGTAACTGTGGCTCCCTGAGCAATTTCACTGATGAAGTCACTCATGGGCATGATGTGGCCCACGGGCCACCAGTTGAATGTCCATTGGCAAGAATAAAATTTTACATCTTATTTAAATAAAAAAAATTGCTGTATATTTTGTTGCCTTCATGGCCATGTGTCGCTTGAAAGAAATTTTTTTTAAATTCCCAATGGGACTTGTTTTTGGGTGGGAGGTAATACAAAAACATTTGAGTTATGTATCTGGTAAATTATGTCTATATTTATTCTACATTTATGTATTTTAAATTAACAGTCCAGTGCTCAGGCAGAAATTGTGAAAGGGTGTCATTTAACCTGTAGGTTGATAATCAAACAGGACATTTTTATGGGAAAAAAATCAGCACAAAGACTGAAATAAGTTCAACATTAATACCTCAGTCTTATGTGGTAAATAAAAAAACTGTCCAGATTCTGCAACTAAACAGTCATAGGAAGAGAAATACACATTAACAAACCTGACCACATAATCAATCATTTTGTAGAACAAAAGGACATTTTTCATCTTCAGTGGTTGAGACACCTGTTGAAAGGAAACTTACCAACAACCCTGCAGATCATCTTCAGGCCTGAACTGTATTTACCATTTCTCCTGCTGCTTCTATTTAAATAAAACAACTCTGACGTCAATTCAAACCATCATCTGTCTCTAAGGCAGCAGCACAACACACAACACTAACTGGCAGTGAGTTCATGTGATTTACACACACAGTGGCACCCAGTGGTTAAACAGAGCAGCTCAGTTTTTGGTTTATTCTGCTGATCTCAAACTAACCCTAAGGATATCAAAGCTTTCTTCCATTGCTCCATTGTAAAAACAAGTGGGGTCATTTCACCCTGCTGAACCAACCATTGGTGGTTTTTGCTAACTCACCATTAGCAGAACAATAAAAAAGCTATTAAGAGCAGAATGTGAATTATTTTAGGAGGATTAGTCAATCCTATTCCAAAATCCAGACTGAGATTGTAAAATGAAAGATTACTGTAAAATGTGGTTAATTAAAAAGGAAAGACAAAGGAGCCAGGCTTCTGGCCTCCAGCCTCTAAAAGCACTTCAGTTTGGATTTTAAAATTCTTTCATATAATCTGACGCACAGAACTGCAACATGCACAGAGAGAGGGAACACCATCATTCTTTTACACCCAAACCCACAGCGATGTGGTCTTTCCAGGGTTTCTACACACCGTCTATTTTCAAATGTAATGCTCTTCCAGACACAAATCTTACATTTATCTGTGTTTTCTGAAACATTTCGACATCATAACATATTTCAGCTACATTTAGACTGCAATTGTACTCCAGCATTGTTTTTAATGTCATATGTTTGCTGCTGAAAAGTTAGATTTGGGTGGTTTTCCCATTTTTCATCTTGTGAGGTGAAACATCTAGATAAGAAACTTTCTTAAACACAGCTGTTTTATTTTTATTTTTGAGAAATTATTATTTTGCCTAGCAAAAATTGTTTCTGATTAAATGCAGATCTGACTAAAATAATTTTCTGTCAATAGTTATGTTTTTGCATTTTTGATGACACTACAAATAGCACAGAGCTGGAATCACACAAGCAAGAATTACTGTGTGATCCTGATTTCAATTTCCAGAAGTTACTAATCCTAATGGTTTATAAATCAAAAGTAGCCATCTTTAGGGCAACTTTTTACAAAACATTAAAATTAGTTTGTTTTTAGGCAATCTGCAAAAGCTAAGCGAGTCAGGAATCATCAATGCATTTTTATGACTTTTATTTTTTTAATACTAAGTCAGACCTGGAAAATACTGAAATCAATATTCATCCTTTTTGAAGACTGTGTAGGAACCCTGTTAGACCGATGTGGAGAAATAGAAATCACTGATTACTGCAGTGGATCACACTTTCCAACCTACGGTACATCTGCATGCTCAGCATTTGCTTCACAGCCAATCAAACTGCTGTCAGATCATTAATCATTGTGCTCACAGCAAATCATTTGAGAAAAAAAACATCATGAAATAATGTGAACTGTTTTAGAAAAGAAAAATAAATGGGGGGGAGGGAGCTTTGGTTTTACAAACAAGCAAAGCAACAAAAAAGAAGAAGGCAGAATTTCCTGAAAAATCCATTGTTTTTTCCAAGTTTAGGGCAGAAAAAAGTGTAAATAAAATAATAAAATAATTTAATCTGGGAAGATTCGGCAGAGCTTTAAAAAAAAAAAAGAGTGGAGATGAAAACACCTGCCCCACAGTGGAGGATCGACACCACGGTGAACATACCAAACATGCCAACCTTGCACGGCAGACTGCCGGGGGACAAAGGTGGCTTTCGGTGGTGGTGCGAGCGGACGTAATCCCGCAGGTTGGGGGCGCTACAGGACACCCCGAGGGCTGAGGCACTGAAGAGGCCAGAGCAGAGCGAGCCTGTGTGAGGAGTCGGGGGGGAGTGCAGGGAGAAGGGATGGGAGGGGGGAGTGTTTTTAATTCACACACCATGCACTTACTGTTCGTAAAAACATCAATGTTCTGGGTCGTTTCCAGAGGAGCGTGTTCACATTTAAAAAGAAAATGCAATTTTAAATGTTAATCAGCTATAGAAATAATTATGCACAGTAGTTTATTCTTACAAATAAACTAAAATGTACGCAGGTTTTCAGTTTCCTGAATTAATAAATGTACTTTTCACTACGCTGATCCCATTTGCATGACCGCAAATGTAAATAAGGGTAACAACTGTTGCACATGCACTCAAAAAACGGATTGTCATTTTTATTTAACTAAGTTATGTCAACAGTTTCCACTCAACTGAATTGAGTAAGGGTAAAGAAAATTTCACATTTACTTTCAACAAAAATGTGAAACTTTGCATTTACTCAACTCAGTGGAAATTGTTGACATAACTTTGTTGGATTTACTTAATCATCTGTTTTTTGTGCACACAGACGGTGTTGTGGTTCAAGCAAAAAAAGCAGAAGTGTGATACACTTATTTTTTAACCAAAATTATAAAAGAAAAGCAGACCTTTAAAAACAGCGTTTTGACAGCAGAGCATTCTTTTTCCACCAGGTAACACCATCGATAAAGGGAATGAGCTCTTGTGAAAGTACCAAAAATACAAAACAAATACTTCTTAGTTCGTTTTTAATGTATGCAGATTTTTTTTCATTTATTGAACAATGCATACTACTGTTGCTCTCTGCACTGTAAATTTATATACATCTCTTTTCTACAGTCAGTTCCATAAATATCGAGACATGGACACAATTTTCATCTTTTTGGCTGCGAACTCCACCACGACGAATTTGAAATGAAACGAACAAGATGTGCTTAACTGTAGACTTCCAGCTTTAATTTGAAGGTATTTACATCCACCTTTTAACATTTTGTTACAAATCATCTGCAGTCAGCCTGAAGTCTGGAACACAAAGACAACAGCAGACGCTGGGTTTCATCCCTGGTGATGCTCTGCCAGGCCTCAGCTGCAGCTGTCTTCACTTCCTGCAGGTTCTTGAAGCATTTTCCCTTCAGTCTCGTCTTCAGCAAGTCAAATACTCAGTCGGATTCAGGTCAAGTGATTGACTGAGTCACTGTATAATATTCCACTTCTTTGCCTTAAAAACTCTTTGGTTGTTTTAACGGCATGCTGAGGATCATTGTCCATCTGTGAAGCTCTGTCCAATGAGCTTTGAAGCATTTGGCTGAATATGAGCAGAAAATATTACCTGAAACACATCAGGTCTCATCCTGCTGCTTTTGTCATCATCACACACATTTTGTTCATTTCATTTAAAATCCAGTGTGCTGGTGTTTACAGGAAAAATGATGACACCTGTGTCAATATCCCAATTTTTATGGAACAAACTATATCTCTATATAGTCTACCATGTAATGAAATATTGACAGACTAAAACAGCATTCACATGAACCTCAATGAAACTTTGGGACAGTTTTAGAATGACAACAGTCCACATTGATCTTGACCTCATTCATTCATTAGCTCGTCATTCCAGTCAAAACTAAACTTGTTCTCCACTAAACTTTAAGTTCACAGGGCTCTCTACAACACCTGAATGAATTATTTATATCCTTTTCACACAACTCTACTTCAAATTGCTAAAAATAATCATTTAAGCTCTGAGTGACATGACAATTGCTGCACATTACAGCCTTAATGCACCTGAGATTAAATTTTTTATTGAACATTTTGTAGTTTTCATCAAGCCTTAGTAAACAGTGTGCATAAAGGCTACACGGTTAAGTTTATTTAAAACTAAAGGACATACCTGAGGATCAAAAGTATATCACGTGTCGTGTTGTGAAGCAGTTACAGTACATTCAGTTTCCCAGTGAAACACACCACAGAAACTGTTTAATCTCTCTGTTGTCACATTCATGGTTTTATGTGTTTCTCCGTAAGTTTTAAATTAGACAAGTTTTTCTTTCCTGCGAGTGTTTACATTTCAAAGACCTATTAAAAAGGTACATCAAATGGAAACACACATTAAAAGAAAAAAAAAGTCTTTTACAAGAGTTTTCTGATTTGGGCAGAGATCCAGAGAGGCTTCTTAAAAAATCTACAAACATTTATATACATTTATATTAAATGCATTTTTTACATTTCTACAAAATGTGATAGGATAAGACAGGATAGATATGTAGGTTGATCTATAAAGAGTTACTGAGAGGGGCATATTCATTACTGTATGACTACATATGACCCATGAGGACACTGGAGGAGGTCATTCGTACAATTTGATGAACTTCAATCCAAAATAAGAGTTTTTTTGTGTAATGCTGATGGTCATCAGGTGGAAGACACTTTATTATCGTTTGCTAAACAGGCCATAATAATTTGATATTTAAGTCTTGTTCTATTAGCAAAAGTTGCATTTAAACAACATTTAATATGGGTAGTTTTCTTTTTTACAAAACAGCAGCAGAGTTTTGTGAAATGGTTAAGTACCCGAATGTTTTAACTAATAGAGTTGGGTACCGAAACTCAGTTCCAGTATGGCACCAGGGCGAACATCAACGGTAGTACACAGACCGAAACACAGCTCTAACTTAGGTGCTTTATTTTAATGCCTCAAAGAAAGCTGTTAATTTGCGCCCTCTGGTGTTCACTGTTAACAGTGACAGCCTCGGCGCACAATCTCCACGGACTCTCTTGTACGCGGTTCGACTCGGCTCGGTCTCGGCCCGATGCGTCTTTCCAAGCGCGCTCCACAGCTGCGCTGTTTCAGAACCTCCTCTCCGGTGGTTCTAAGTGGGTAGAAGCGAGAACAGCACGCTTACGATTTTGACGTCAGCAGAATTCAGCCTGTGGGTAACTCTTGTATTGACTGACAGCAAATTTCCTCCTGAAGAGAGCTGCTTTTGTTTAGGAATACGAGCGTGCGGTGCGATACGACAACATGGAGAAATAAAACTGCCTTTTTGGGAAAGGCAGAACTTGTAAACACTTCCTGAAGAGAGGTGAAGGAGATGAAGCTGAGCAGATAACCGGGAGGTTTCCAACAAACTGACCGCCCATGGTTACACAAGCACTTAGCTAAACAGCATTGTGA